CCCCAAAACCCCAAAACCCCAAAACCCCAAAACCCCATATCACTCAGATAAACTTGAATAAATATTATAAATGGGGACGAAAAATCTGAACGTAAAACATTCTTTAGACTTCAAGCGGAATAACCAGACAAACGGAGTCGCTTCTCTTAAAGAGAGGTTGCGGCAGAATGCCAATGCGAAGAAGTGGAAAGGAAGGCGAGAGAAGCATTTTGGCAATAATCCTGCCCAAAAAGACTCAAATTATAATTCTCCTGAAACTTACCTACCTATTAATACTCGTTATGGGATAAAAAATAATAGTTACTCTAAGCCCAAGCATGAAGACCAGTATATGAAGAACGTTAGGAAGGTTTATAATACAATCGATTATGATGTTGGCCGCGGAAGGGCAGGGCAAGCTAAGCGTAAGAAGTTAGGATCCTACAACCATTCTCATAGCTCTTCTATCTCTGGATCCCTTACTCGAAGCAATAAGTTCTTGGCATCGAATGATTTTGTGCTTAGTACAAGTCAATATAGAAGGAGCAACAAAAACTTTGACACTTCTTTTAATGTTAAAGACACAGTAAATCACCAGAGAAGAGCTTCGAATAATATAATTCCTTCCGGGATCTCGAATTTGAAAAGAAGAAAACGACAAGCAGACATAGGGGGAAATGGAGTCCTCTCCTTCCGTAACTCCTTCCATAACAGCAACCAGAGTCTTGGGACTTTGTATAACAAAAGTTCTGGAATAAATAATTTCTGGGGAGTCTCGAGTAAAGTTAATGCCTCCTTGAATGGCATCCACAAGAGGTCAAAGGAGAAGCTTATCCCTCAAAATGCAAGGCAAAGCTTGCACTTGAAGCTTAAGAAGAAGATCTTTCATAACTCCAAGAAGAGCATTGGAGAGCACAGGAGGGAGATCCATATGCTTCCTTTGAATACATTCAATCGAAAATTTTAACGATAAATATAGCTTAAATATGAAGAATAAAGAAGGATTGCTTGTCAAGTCTTATAATAATCCGATTCCTGAGAATGCAAGTACTTCTTTGGACAACTACCATACTAAGAGTTACGAAGATGTAGTCAAGAGCTCTTCTTCGATAATGTTCAAAAATATAAATAATCAGAGGCCTAAACCTATAAACGGCCAGATCAACCATAAAATACTAGCAGCCTTGGCTAATAAAAATCTTAAAGAGGGAATTATGAAGAAGAAGTCTAAGAAAGATCTCAGTGCTGACGCTCGGATAATTAATGCTTACAGCTATGATAAGGAGAAGAAGGGGCATTGTAAGGTTCCTACAATGGGCAGCACTGCTGATCAAGAAGACCATAGTGAAGAAACTACACAGGAGCTGTATCAGACCGAGGCTCAGTCTTTTCCAGAGCCGCATAAACAGAATTCTTTTATTAATAAGATTAGTGATGATTTGGACCATGGTGAAGATAAGCATTACGGTTCTGAGGGAAAAGTTAACGAATATGATGAGGGGCTTCCAAAGGAATTCGATTCTCCGTTCGAATACAAAGCTATTAGCCCATCTCCCCATCTGAACACGAGTGCTATGAGCAAAGAAGTTGCCCTAGATGACCGCTCCTCAAGGATGAAAGAGGATGAGAGCAAGAAGGACAGTAAAGATTTCCCTCTCACTGCTGCTAAAGCCATCATTTACTACAGGAAATATCTGAGTGAGTATGAAGAATCAGAGATTTTGAATTACAGTCTGATTTACTACATAAATTTGAGAGCCCCGATTGATAAGAAGACAGGTAAATAAAGCAAAAATTCCCCAAGAATTCAAGGTCATTAAGGGAGAACAACTGTGCTACAGATATGAAATAATTGAATCCTTAGGTAAAGGCGCTTTTGGAGAGGTGATCAAGTGCTTTGACCACAAAGAAAATGAAGATGTCGCTATAAAAATTCTCAAAAATTCTTCTGACAATTATGAGCAAGGGATGAATGAAGTTAACATCCTCCGATATGTTAAGGAGAATGACCCTGATGACGTTAGGAATATCATCAAGATTGGTGACACATTCATTTTTAGAAACCAGATCTGCATTGGATTTGAGATCATGGACATGAACCTCTATGATGTTATCAAAGGCAGGAATTTTAGAGGTATGAAAGTCAAATATATCCGAAGGATCGCTCTTCACATCTTAGTCGGACTCTGCTTCTTGGCTAGATTCAATGTAATTCATTGAGACATGAAACCTGAAAACATCCTTTTGAAGAAAAAGGATGACCAGAAGGGCTATATTATCAAGATAATCGATTTCGGGTCAGCCTGTTTTAAAGATAGCATTGTTTACTCTTATGTACAGAGCCGATTTTACAGAGCTCCCGAGATTAGTCTAGGAATTCGTACTTACAGCCAAGCTATTGATATGTGGAGTTTTGGAGCAATGCTTGCTGAGCTATACACCGGGATCCCTCTTTTTCCTGCCGAGAGTGAGGAAGAGCTGCTTGGTCTTATCATGGAGCTCAGAGGCCCAATGCCTTTCTATATGGTCAAAGAAGGTATGAAAGGGAGTAAATATTTTAAAGAAGACGGAACCCCTAAAGAGCATGTGGCTCTCATGCCAAGGTCCAAGACTCAGAATTCAAAAGATAACCATAGGCTTGATTTGGATGAATATGCTAAATTATGAGCTATGAAGGAGGGAATGACTGAACAGGTAAACCCTAGCGGACAGAAGGGCTCGTCTGACAACTCAGAGGATGACTATGAAGACGAGGAGAATATGGCTCTGAAGCATGACCTCCACCTTGATTCCCCTTCTAAACATCATTATATAGTTGGTGCTAAATCACTAAACAATGTAATGCAGTGAGGAGACCTTGAATTTGTTGATTTCATCGAGAGATGACTTGATCTTGATCATAAGAGAAGACTTACTGCTAAGGATGCATTGAAGCATCCTTGGATTGTTAAAGGTCTAAAATAAAATTTATTGATAAATAACCATTTTCATTCAACAACAAATATTTACCTCGGGGTTTTGGGGTTTTGGGGTTTTGGGGTTTTGGGGTTTTGGGG